GCATGTAGTAAGTGCTTAATAAATATTTGTTGACTTGGCTTGCATCGGGTACCATGGAAACCCACTTGTGTCCCAAGTTGTGGATCTATTTCTTAATGTCAAATGTCAGCAACATCTCTTCCAGAATAATGTCTATTGAGGACACGTCTCCTTCCTAAGACCTTTGGACTCCTTGGTTTTAGAATGAGAAGAACAAGAGGAATCTATCCAAGAGGATGAAGTCTACCTACCCTGTGGTTTGGGAGGACCAGAGACCAGGGGATCTGCTCATTTAAATGACCCAAGGACAGCAGCGACGTCTAGTCAACATGCTTTTCCTGGAAACTTTCCCTCTTTCTCTCCCTGCGTTGTTCATAAAGTTATAATCAGCCACCACAGCACAGCTGCATAGACTTGTAAGAATTGTAGTCCAAGGAGACAACATAGGTTCCTCCCCGCTTGAAGAAGACTGCTTTCCTTTATAATTGAGGGTGTGTGTCCTTATTCTGTTTGTGAAAAACATAATTCAACACTAACACAAAAAAGCAATGGAAACTTGTATGGGGAAAATTTATTGTGTTGTATTAACTTAGTTCTTCATGGCTGAGAAACCAGAACTGTTAGCTACTAGCACAGTACCTCAAATTAGAGAGCCCACTGCTTATAGTTTACTGTTGTTGTTGTTTAGTTACATCAGTTGTGTTTAACTCTGACCCCATTTGCAGTTTGTTGTGTTTTGGTTTTTTTTGGCAAGGCTACTGAAGTGTTTGCCGTTTCCTTCTCTAGCTCATTTTTCTACAGCTCATTTTACAGATGAGGAAACTAAGACAAACAGGGTTGAGTGAATTGCCCAGAGATAAACATTTTCCTTTTTTCAATTTACCTAATGAATATTGATGATCTTTTAAAAAATTAACTACTAGCAAGAAGATTACAGCAACATAATACACTATGACCAGGTGGGATTTATGCTTGATTAATTCAGGGCTGGTTCAATATTAGAAAAAACAGAAACATAATTGACCACATCAATAACAAAAACAACAAAAATCTTATAATTATCTCAATAGATGCAGAAAAGGCTTTTGACAAAATATAACACTCACTTCAATTTAAAAAAAAACACTTTCTATTATTTTTTTTAGGCAATTGGGGTTAAGTGACTTGCCCAGGGTCACACAGATAGTAAGTGTCAAGTGTTTGGCCTGAGGCCGCATTTGAACTCAGGTTCTCCTGACTTCAGGGATGGTGCTCTATCCACTGTACCACCTAGCTGCCTCACTTTCTATTATTTTATTTATTCCTATGTCTCATTGATGTGGGAAAAAAAATGGAACCTTTCTTAAAATGATAAGTAATATCTATTTAGAACCCAAAGAAAGCATCAATTATAATGCAGATAAACTAGAAGCCTTTGCAGCAAGATAAGCAAAGATGTCCATTATCCGCCCTCCTTTAGTCAATATTCTACTAGAAGTGCTAGATATAGCAATAAGACAAAGAAGAAATCGTAGGAATAGGAATAGGCAATAAGGAAACAAACTATCACTCTTTTCAGACAATATCATAGTAAACTTAGAGAAACCTAGAGAATTTGTTAAAAAGTTAGTAGAAGAAATTAACTTTTTCAAAGTAGCAGGATATTAAAAAAAACACAGAAATCATCAGCATTTCTACACATCAATAACAAAACCCAGCAGGAAGAAATAGAAAGAGAAATTCCATTTAATTGTAGACAATATAAAATACGTGGGAGCCTGCTTGCCTAGACAAAGCCAGGGACCATATGAACACAATTACAAAACATTTTTCAGAAAAATAAAGTCATATCTGAACACCTGGAGAAATGATAACTACTTATGGGTAGGCTGATCAATATAATAAAAATGACAATTCTATCTAAATTCATTTACTTATGTAGTGCAATACCAATCAAACTACCAAAGAATTATTTTATAGAGCTAGGAAAAAATAATAAAATTCATCTGAAAGAACAAAAGATCAAGAATATTAAGGAAAACAATGAAGTAAAAGGGAAGAAAGGAGGCCTGGCAATTCCAGGTTTCAAATAACATTACAAAGCATTAAACATCAAAATGATCTAGTATTGGCTAAGAAATAGAGTGATTCAACAATGGAATACTTTAGGTACATAATATACCATAATAAATTAGTGTTGATAAACCCAAATATCTAAACATTGGGGACAAAAACTCACTGTTTAACAAAAATTGCTGGGAAAACTGGAAAACATTTTGTCAGAAACAAGGCACATATCAACATCTCACACCGTTTACCAAGATGAGGTCAAAATGGGTATGTGATTTTGATATAAAAAGTGATATCATAAGCAAATTGAGGGAGCATTGAAAAATTTTCCTGGGGGTAGCTAGGTGGTGCAGTAGATAGAGCACTGGCCCTGGAGTCAGGAGGACCTGAATTCAAATCTGACCTCAGACACTTAATAGCTGTGTGACTCTGGGCAAGTCACTCAACTCCAAGTGCCTCACACACAGAAAAAAAAATCCCTGTCAGATCTATAGAAAAGGAAAGTATTTATGACCAAACAAGAGATAGAGAAGATCATAGGAAGTAAAATTAATAATATTGATTACATAAAATTAAAAAATAGTTTTTGTACAGACAAAATCAATACAGCCAAAATTCAAAGGAAAGCAGGAAACTAGGTGGGAGAGGGGAGAGCCTTATAGCAAGTTTGTTTTTTTTTTCTGTTAAAGTCTCAGTTCTCAGTTATATAGTGAACTGAGACAAATTTAATTTTAAAAAAAGACCACTCCCCAATTTATGTTCAAAGAATATAAACACGAAGTTTTCAGTAGCAGAATTCAAAGCTATCAATAGTTATGTGAAAATATTTTCTTAATCACTATTGATTAAAGAAATGCACACTAAAATAACTCCAGGGTATCACTCACACATATCAGATTTGGTAACATGGGCAAAAAGGAAAATGACAAATGCTGGAGGGATTGTTAAGAAATCAGGACACTAAAGCACTGTTGATAGAGTTGTGAACTGGTCTAACCATTCTGGAAAATATTTTAGAACCACACCTATCAGACTGTGCATACCCTTTGACCCAGCAATGCCACTACTAGGTCTGTATCCCAAAAAGATGAAAGAAAAAGGTAAAGGAGCTATATGTACAAAACTATTTCTAGCAGCTCTTTTTGTTTTGGTAAAGAATTGGAAATTGACTCATCAATTGAGGAATGGCTGAAAAATTTATGGCATATGGTTATGATGGAACATTATTGTCCTATAAGAAATGATGAGCAGGATGATTTTAGGGAAAAAAAACCTGAGAAGACTTATATGAAGTGAGCAATACCAGGAGAAAACTGTACACAGTAATAGCAATATTGTGATGATGATCAACTGTGAAAGACTTAGCTACTCTGATAAAGACATTGCCAAAGAACTTTTGGAGAAAAATGTCATTCACCTCCAAAGAGAGAACTAATGAACTCTGAGTGAAGGCAGAAGCATGCCTTTTTCATTTTTTAAATTTTTCTTGCTTTTTTTATATAACATGGAAAATATGGGAAAATGTTTTGCACGACTTCACAAATATAATCGATATCACGTTGCCTGCCTTCTCAATGGGTAAAGGAAGGAGTAGAGCAATGGAACTCAAAACTAAAAAAAAAAAAAAAAAAAAAGAATGTTAAAAATAAATAATTAAATAGCAAATTAAGAGAAAAGAAAATGTTTCTAGGTATCAGATAGCTACACAACACAGCTAAGACCCAAGATGAAATAAGTTGATAAAATATATCTTCATTGGTAACCAGAATTAGTTTACCTATACAGACTGTTTAACTAGGTTTGTTTCCTTAAGAGATGTATCAGATTATGACTCTGATTAACTAAATTTTTTACATCTTTAATGACATTGAATAAAACATGGAATCATGAATATATATATATATATGTATATATATAAACATTTTGTGATGCTTGTGGCCATATGTGTTATTTCAATATCTGAAAATCTCTCTGTATTACGTAGTATACTATTTCCTGGTACAAATCTAAGTCTCTGACTTATAGCCCTTGATGTTTACCCAATTTGATTGCCCTGATTATGAGTTGCCACCAGTCTGGTCTCTATCACTTCTTGAAGGAATTCTATAGAGCTCCTGATGAGATGAGCAGTGAAAAAAATGTCTCTACTGACTCGGTTATTTTAATATTAATCTTCCTATCTACTTCTATAATTGAACTTCTGATGGTATAAGAAAGTTGGACCTAAAGCCCCCAAATGCAGAAATTATGAGAAAACTTTATTACATTGTTTGAACCCAGGTTAGTATGGCTAAGAACCAGAATTGTTGCTTTGAGACCAGATCTATTAACTACTTATCTCAGGATCTAGGTCATGCTAACCAGAAACCTAGTCAGATCTGAAGATTAATGCAAGGCATGTAAGGAGTTTTCTCCTACTATACATTTCAAGCAATTTATGTGTTTTTTCTGGGAACTGTATCTGTGTTGGCTAATCAGTGACTCTTTCCTTGTGTCTTTGGATTCTATATGATGTAAAACTTATGGACACACAAATGAAGTAGACCACCCTTTTTTTATTTTCTGACTCTCTCTTCTTAGAGACACTTTAATAAACTTAAAAAATTCGTTTCTAATTTTTGTTTTCTGCCACGTCAATAATGGTGTCAGAAGTGGGACACATTCCTTGTTTGCCTCCCTTCACATGGAGTAAAACTGATTCAGTTCTGCCCAAAATGCTCATAGAACAGAGGTTCAGAGAAGTACTGAATAAAACTCATTTCAAACCTAAAAGTACTACATATATAGGATGTATCATCATAATTTGTGGAGCTAATTTATTACAAAAGCCAACCAATAAATTTCTGACTTGATTGGTGTGTATGCCTTGAAGAGAGATGTGCATACCCACCCAAGAATGTACCTTCCAGAAGAAGATACAGAATGGACGTGAACAGGTTAACAACTATAATAATAAAGTCAAGAATACCCACAGAAAACAATGGTGGAATTGTCACAGTTGGGAGGTAACCATCCTTCTTCACATTGACACTGAAGCTCATGGTCACAGACCTAGAGGAGCAGATATATGATTCATTAACAATCCCCCTGGTTTTTGTCACTTATCACAGGTTTTAACAAAAGGATCAATGTTGACTGCTGTCCAGTACTTCATTCTCCTCCCTGGCAGTCAATGGGTGGCCCACATCACTACTGGCTTCTGAGAGATTGTTATCAACCAAGCATTAGATCATAGGATCATAGATTTAGGTAGGGAAGAACCTTGAGAGGTCATTTAGCCCAACTTTTTCATTTTACAGATGGGGAAAATGAGTCACCTTAGGTCATACAAGTAGTGACAGAATCAGAATTTGAACCCAGGTCCTTTGACTCCAAAATCCAATTTTTTTTTTTCTCCATTGCCATGCTACCTCTCTAAAGAACAGGAATGTGAATACACAGGCTAATTCTAGTTACCTAACAGTTGCCAAACTTTACCAAGTTCATTGCTTTTCTCATTGAATGTGTTTGTTTTCCTCCTTTTGATTTTTCTCTCTGTCTAAGGTACCACCAATCCCCCAGTCTCCAATATTCACAATCTTGGGGTTGCCTTTGACTCTTCTTCCCTACCCCTTATCTGATCAATGACCTATTCTGGTGATTTCATCTCTGCAGCATGTGTTTGTGTTCATATCCCACCGCACTGTTTCCACTGCTGTTACCCAGTACTACCGTAGTACCCTCCTAGATGGTCTTCCTGCCACCCTTCTCTACTGCCTCCAATCCAATCCTCACATCCTAACAGGTTGATCAAGACATTATTTCTCTATCAGACTAAAAATTCTTCAGTAACTCCCTCTCCCCACCCCCACTAGGAGAATGTAAGCTGCATGAGGGCAAGGATGATTTTCATATTTTTCTATCCCCAGGGCCCAACACAGGATATAACATGTAGAAGATGCTTAATAAATGTTGATTTAATTAATTTGGATCAAATTATCTACTGGATAGCATTTAAGCCATTTGTAAGGCAATCAAAGCGCTCCCTAATCTAGCACCACCCTCAATTTGCAGACTTATATTACTTCTCTAGAATCACATGATTACAGAGTCATACAGGACCTCAAAGGTCATCTAGTCAAGGTTTCTCCATCCTACATGATCAAACTTCATTCAGCCTTTGCTTGAAGATCTGAAAGAAAGGTGAGTTCAGTTTCTCCCGACTCACCTCACCACATTTTTTGAAAATTTTCATTGTCAGAAGCTTTTCCTGACCTCTTTCTTCTATTTGACTCTTTGGAACTCTTCTTACACACAACTGCCCTAAATTCTGCCCTTTGAGGCCAAGCAGAAAAAAAGTTTAACCCACCTCTTACTCGACAGCAGTTTAAATACTTAGACCAGGATCTTTCTCTGTCTTCTCTTCTCCAGATTAACCGTAGCAGGTACCTTTCACCAGTATCCATATGTCATTAACTCATTGTCCATCACCATCCTGGTTATCCTCATTTAGACACTTTCCAACTTATCAATGTCCTTCCTAAAATGTGCTACCCAAATCCTGCCTTCCACTCTTACTAGCTCTATGACCCTGGGGCCATCATTGAACTTCTCTCAAGTTGTTTTCTCATATGTAAAATGGATCTAATAATAGAACTTACCTCCCAGGGTTGTTGTAAGATTGAATGAGAAAGTATTTAAAATGTCATACAAATCTTAAAGTTCTATAGAAATGATAACTATTGCTATTATTGTTTTTATAACCTAAGGACATAATTCATCGTAGTCAGGTGACATGAACTGAATCAAGGGTGGGCTATGTGCTGTCTTACTATTCCCCTATTTATCTTCACTGTCAACTCATGGGATCATAGGTTTAGGGCTCAAAGAGTCCTCATTATCCATCTTGTCCAACTCTCATTTTACAGATAAGGAAACTGTGGCCCAGAGAGGATGAATCATTAGTCCAAGGTCATAAGGGAGTAATCATTAGAGGTGGTATTTGAATTCAAGTCCTCTCCAGAACCAGTATTCTTTCCACAGTGCTTTCCCAAGAGTCATTTTTATTCTACCCTTTCTAATCCAAAAACTACTCATTGTCTTTGACAAAGGGGCAAAATGACAATTGAGAAACTTCATCTTCTTTTTGTAGTCAGCTGTCATTGTCCCATGATCCTTCCTTTTCCAAATATAGCTTAAAACAAAACACCCTCTGTCACCCAACCAAATTAGATCACTCCTTCTCTCTGTATACTTCCCAAATTCTCCTAGTTCTGAGCTTTCTTAACCCTGAACCTTTTGCTGAAATGCCCTCCCTCTTTCTTTTCACCTCCTGAAGTTCTACCTATCCATTAAGGCCAAACTCTAATATTGCCTCCTTTGGGAAACTTTTCCTGTTTCCTTCATGATCAATCATCTAGAGCCTAGAGTTCCCCCCTATCTAATCTTCTTATTATGGAATCTTGTCTATTTCAGTCATATGTATTCCTGTCTTATTCTGCCATTATCCCACCTCTTTGTAAAGTGTAAGCTTGCTGAGGACAAGGAGAATATCTTTTCTAGACTATATTTTTCCCTGTGTTTACACAATGCTTTGCATGCAGTAAGCTCTAAAGAAATATTTGCCAAATGTCACAGTTGACTTAAAATTGGTTGGGGTTCAGGGAGCTTTAGGAATCAATAATTTGATCTTACTGCATGTCCTTTGCACTTTGAAGAACAATTTGATGTCTTGTAGGCATTCTCAATGTCTATACAATCTCCACTGATGCATACCTGGAGGGACAGGGAAAAAAAAAACAGTAATAGGATACTAGTCTTCCCTGGCTTCAACTCTGTTCAACATCCCTGGGGGAAAAATTGTTTGCTCAAAGAATCACAACTTTCATTGTGAGGGTGAATGTCATGTATTACCCTTGGAACCTCCTTCTTCCTCATGCTATCATTTACACATGCTCATCTTCTCGTTTTTAAGATGTGTTGTAACACTTCCCCCCAAAAATAGAAGGCAAATTTCCCAAGGGCAAGCTAATTTGTATAATTCTTCTAGCCTCTACCACAATGCCTTGCACATAGTAGGCATTTAAAATAGGAAGTTGGTTCTCACAACAACCATAGAAAGTAGCTGCTATTGTTATCTCTATTTTACATATGAGGAAATTAAGGCAGAGGAGAGGTTAACTGACTTGCTCTGAGTCACTTTTCACAGCTTCTAAGTCTCTGAAGTCATATTTGAATTCAGGTCTTCCTGACTCTGGGCCCATTAAAGACCACTCATTTGATTGGCTAGGTTTGGGATCTCATGCAGGAAAATAAATTAGAGCCAGAGAGGTTTTAGAGATCACACAGTCCAGATCCCTAATTGTATAGGTAAGGAAACAATGAGAGCATTTAAGTGACACTTCCAAGGTCATACAGCTTTTTAAAACGTCTAAGGTGGAATGTGAACCCTAAGTCCTCACTCCAAGTCCAGAATTGACTTTCTCCCAGAAAACGAGTAGGATCTGGATTCATAGATTCACAAAGGTAAAAGGGACCTTAGCAATAATCTAGTCCCTCCTTCAAATATTAAACATGAGAGAATTGAAGCCAAGAAAAGAGACGTGACTTGGCCAAGGTCTCATAGCTAGTAGATGGAGATACCAGCATTCAGACATGGATATCTTGACTCCCTCTCTATCCAGGCCTTGCCTCTTATTTCCATAGGGATTCATTATATTGGAAAGCTTAGGGATGTTTGCTATTGTAAGCCTTCCTGACCTAATCTCAGGAAAAGAATAGTAGAGAATAGACCTAAGAATTAAGTGGTATAGTGAACTCCAGAAAGAGGAAATACCCTCTACTGACACAAGTAGGCATCTTCTTTGTAAGTTACAACCTTATAGAGTCGTCTAGACTGGAGCAGTTAGAGGTTAAGTAGTTTACTTAAGGTCACCCAGAGAGTATATGATGGACAAGTCTTACAGTCAGGTTGTCAGTTTCAAGGCTGGCTCTCCACCCATCGTGCAAAACTGTCACATAACTGCATTATTTAGTGTACAAACAGTGGGTTCATCATTTGAGTCACATATTTTGCGCTCCCCATACACATATACATGTGCAAACATTATCCCTGTTGAATAAGCCATCCTATCTGTGGATATAAACCCAAGAACCAGGACTCAAAGATTCTTTTAAGCAAAGACCACCAAGGTCAACATACACTCATGTTTCCACATTTGGTTCCATTAGCCACCATGGAAACCTCTTGGTTATTGTGTTCTGATGAGAATGTTTTGCAGTTCAGAAAAGACATGATCTTTCCCTTCCAGGGCAAAACATCTGACCCTCCATAACAGTATAACTTGCCACACGTAGAACTCCTAGGGGGGAAAAAAAGAAAGTTTGAAAAATAGGGGTTAAGGATGATAATCTAAAGACGAGGTGTTAAACATACTGGCTATGCTACCTCAATGCATCCCAGTGTGGCCAACAAGATTAAAATGTAATTAAAAACTTTTTAATAAAATAAATAAAATACAACAAACATAGGTAATGTTAATTTGTGATTTTCTAACTCAATATTCAGCCCTCAAGGATCCTTATGTATCATTTAGTTTAGTTCTAATGTACTTAAGCTTGATACTGAGCTTGAGCTGAGTAATCAAAAAAATGCAAACTCCTTTAGAGAAGGAACTATTCTTTGTTTTGTTTTCATATCTTTAATGTTTTGCGTATAGTAAGTGCCTGATAAGTTCACATGGAATGAATGAATGAATGAGTGAGTGAATGGGTAGCAAGCATTAGATTCAACCACTTCCCATGGATTTGGGGCTGTGTATATTCTGACTCTCCTCCCAGTGGGACACCTTGCTAAAAAAAAAAATCATACATGGACAGAAGTTCTTGTCAGTCTCTTTCTCTGAGTTCCAATCCAATTCTATCCCCTCCACCTCTGTGGTGGATGAAATCAGGATCATGTCATAATAAATGTTGATTGATTGAGCAATTGATGTTCATAATCTTGATGACATCTCCATTTCTGCCCTCTCAGTCACCCTTTCTATCCAGTTAAGTTGCTCCATCCTCTATGACTTTTGCCACAAAATCTCTGGGAAATACCTCCTCTTCAGTCATACAAACACATCCTAAGTTCAGACCCTCATCATCTCTCACTTCCACTATTATAATAGCCTTCTAATTGTTCTCTTTTCTTCAACTCTCTCCCCACTCCAACCCATCTCCAACTCAGTTGACAAAGGGATCCTCCTGAAGAACAGGTCTGATCATGTCATTTGTCTACTAAATTCCCCAATCCCTTCAGGATGAAATATAAACTCCTTTGTTTGGTGTTTACAGCTTTTCCTAACCTGCCCCTTTCCTACCTTTCCAGTCTTCTTCTATCTAACCCCCATCCAAACATTCTTTGGTTCAGTCATACTTCCTAATTGCTTTTCCTTACATATAATACACCTCTTTGTCTTTGCGGTGGCTGTCCCCCATGCCTGGACCATTCCCTTTTTCACCTCTGTCTCCCTAACTTCCTTCAAGACTAATTCCTAAGCTAATTCCTGCATTTTTCAAGAGACCTTTGCCAGCCCTGCTATTGTTATTTTTTAATATATAAATCAGCTTGAGGAAATAGTGGCCAGCAGAGGTTAAGGAACTTCCTTAAAGACCCACAGGCAAATGTCACCAGAGGCAAGATTGGAACCCAGTTCCTCTCACTGAAGATATGGGAAATGAGATAGTCTAAGAATTCAAAGGATGGAAGACATAGAGATGGGGCAGAAGAAAGTGATGCTGTCTAACCTTATTCTCCACTTGCCTCCTCCCAGTACAATTTGTATGACTGATTTCCAAGTTTGCTCTCTCCAAATAGGGGCTAAACCAGAGTTAGTGGCTAGATATGCAACCATGCCTTTCTCCTTGAAACCCACAGATGGAAAAGGTCAAGGTCCTTACCATGCTTTACAAGGAACGTAGATGTCATCCACCTTTCGGCAATAACCATAAATCAAACCAGCAGTGTTTATGTCGAAACATGACTTTTCAGCAACTTGAGCCCCTAGCACCATGCAGGATCAGGGAGAAGTTTGGAGAAAATTTATTTACACACATGCATGTATATTACACATATATCCCCAAGTAATGTAACTAACATGGTGTTCTAGCCCTGATACCTTGCAGATGAAAACTCCATCTTTGCTTGATTCATGGAATCAATCAGCCAAAGACATAAGCCAATCCTTACTCATTCTGAGAGGAATGAATGCTTTGAATCTTTGAATTAAATTGCATTACACTACTCAAGAAATGTATTGGAGTTTTCAGGAAGAATTAAATGCACTTCTTGGCCTCTGTATATAAGCATAGGAGCTCTCAGGCAAGAGCTGTACAAGTTTCAGGAGGACTTTGAGGAAAGCAACCCTGGTGTCTATAACTAGAAGATAACGAGGGCTGAGGAGAATCGATTCTTTCTCCCCCTCCTTATTATGATTGGGTGAGGGTCGGGGGAAAGCACCATGAACTGTTTACATATCATGGCCCTCATTAGAAGGTGGGCTCCTGGAGAGTAAGGGCCATGAGATTTTTTTTTCCACTTTATTAGTGTCCCTAGTACTTAGCATAGTGCTAGGCACATATTAATGAATACGCTTATTCATTGTTGACTGCTTTTTGGAAAGCCAAAAGATTTGAATTTCATATTGTTGATGTTAGTATACCCAATATGTCGGCCAAGTATATACAGCAAAAACAAGTAGCCTCAGAAGTCTGTGAAGGCACTCACACTCAGAGCTAACAAGGCATTCTACTAGAGGGGAATTTCATTTTCATTTTATTTCATGAGGATTTTGCAAAAAAAGGAAATGATTTCCTTAAATCAGGAGCTGTGAATCACTGCTTTAGCATGTGTTCTCCAAGCTTGACTCCTCTCTCCTCACGGAACAAGTGTGTGCAGAGTACAGGTTTAAGGGATGATTTTTTGGAACATCTGTCCTTATTATATCTTCTCAGTAAATGTCTCTTTGTAAGAGCTGATAGATATCAACTGTCTGATTAGTATTAGGGAGCAAATTGGATGAGGGCTCATAAACAATTATATTATAAATTCCAACTCCTCTCTGTGGAGAGGAACAGTTACCCACTTTCTGGGGACCTAATCTACCTATGAGAGAAAAGAAAGTGGCCCTAGAAGGTGTGTGTGTGTATTTATATACATATATATATATATATAGAGAGAGAGAGAGAGAGAGAGATGTGTGTGTGTCTGTGTGTCTGTGTGTCTGTGTGTATGCATGTATACATATGTATGTATGTATATTGTACATGTATATGCATATGTGTATTGTATATGCACGCGTGTTGTGTGTATGTATACATGTGTGTTGTGTATGTATACATGTGTGTATGTGCATTGTGAGCATATATGTATTGTATTATATATGTATGTGTGTTGTGTATGTGTACATATGTGTGTGTTTGTGTATGAGTATTAAAAGATGCTGTACCAAGTAGGGTCATGGGGACCAGATTTGTGATTCTATTGCTATAGGGAACTTTCAGGTATGGAAACTCCCTCTATAATTGCAGGTCAGCTCCTTCTTTGCTTCTTACAGGTTTAGAGATTGACCTAGAGATTCCATGACTTGACATATAGCCAATGGAGAACAGAATTAAGACATGAAGCCTGGTTTTCCTGGCTTTGAGGCCAACTGTCTAGCCAGGATTTGTGCTGTACTAAATACAAATAATAATGTATATAACCAGGATAGATACAGGCATTAGAAAACACTCTAGGAGACAGCTGAGTCAACTCCTGGGACACAACGCATAGGCTGTATCAGCGTTTTGCCAAAATATGAATTTAAAATGATTCATCAAGATGTTCTTTTAGTGAAATGCTGAGTATTTAAATATTTAGAAAGATCTGCCTGAAGTCTTCACTGTTTATCTAACTGTGTAGAAATAGCCACTGAAAGATGGAATTGGCCTATTGCCATTGGAAGCCCACAGAATAGTCTCAGAGAAATGGGGAGTAAGCAGTGTGCTAGAGTGGAAAGACTGCTCTGTTTGGCTGGAGGACCTGGGTTCAGCTTACATGGGAAGAACCCATGACTTGTGACCTTACTCTAGTTATTTAATCTGTCTCAGCCTGAATTGCTTAGGTATAAAATGGAGGGGGTTGCTCTAGTTAACTTATAAGGTCTTTCCTGGCTTGAAATCTATGGTCCTAAGACCAGTCAGCAGTAGCCTGGAGAACATTTAAGAAGACTAGAGTCAACCTGTCAATAGCCTATATGAAAACAACAACTGACCTATTTGCAAATTCATAATAGTTGAAATGAATAAAGAAATTAAAGGTTTCTAAGATGGCTTACATAGATTGCCTCCTTTGGACCTCACAACAAAATTATGAAATGAGTGCTACTATTATTCCCATTTCACATGTGAAGAAACTGAGGCTGAGGGAGGTTAAGTAAGTCAGCAAGAGGATTTAAATCCAAATCCTCTGTTCTAGCCAATGTATCATATTGGCACAAAGTTCTTCCTGATCAATTATTCCTTTCTTCAGAGGATTGTGGGATCAGATCAACCAGTTTTATGTAGGAAAGCACAGCTTCAGATAAAATAGCAGTAAAAATAGACGTGTGACAAAAAGTTCATCATGCCAATGACTATACCCAAGAGGCAATGAGCAGCTACGTGGTGCAGTAGTGCACAGAGCACTGGGCCTGAAATCAGGAAGACCTGAATTCAAATCTGAACTCCCACACTTGAGAGCAGTGTGACGCTGAGCAAGTCACTTAACTGCTCTCGGCCTCAGTTTCCTCAACTGCAAAATGGAGATAATAATAATGGTACCTACCTCCTGGGTTGTTGTGAGAATCCAATTAGATAATATTTGTAAAAATGCTTAGCATAGTTATTGCTCAGTTGTTTCAGTCATGTCTTACTCATTCTGACAGTGCTTAGCACATAATAGTCACTTAACAAATACATGTTCCTTCCCTCCCCAATAAATCAACAAACAAATATCTATAATAATAGCTAGCACTTTTAAGATTTGCAAAGTGCTTTACACACACACACATACATACACACATATGTATTATCACATGTAATCTTCACAACAATGCCATGAAGTAGGCACTAAAATTATTGCCATCTTTTGGATGAGGAAACAGAGACACAGAGAGTTTAGGTGACTTGCCTGAGATCAAACAGCTAGCTAGTTCATGTCTGACACAGCCTTTGAACTCAGATTTTCTTCACTCCAGATCTAACATTCTCTCCACTGCCTCACCTAGTTGCCTAACAGTGTGCGAGGCATTGTGTGCCCTATAGGCACTGGGTATATAAAGAGAGAATGAAAATAACCCTTGCCTTCAAAGGTTAAAACCCTAAATGTCCCTTCAACTCTTACCTTCCCCCCAAAGACTGACACACTGGTCCTGCAGGGTCGGGCACTTCCCCATCAGGCAGTGGCCTTGCCCATTCTGGCAGGGAAATCTGTTGACTCGGAATCGGTCTTCGGGACAGCTCTCAGACTTGCCATCACACATTTCCGGCAGGTCACAGTCATCTTTTGTTGGCCTACACAGGGTCCCAGCTTTTTTGATCTAGAAGAAAAGAAAAAAAAAAGCATAAGAGGAAGTTGTCTCTGTTTCTGACCCTGACCCCAGGCAGTAGTCAGCATGGTGAAGTGTCAAGAGCACTAGGGTTAGGGACAGAACACCTGGTTTCAAATCCGGGTTCACTTTTGACTTTCATGACTTTGTACAAGTCATTTCGATTTTCTGGGCCCCACATTCCTTATCTGCAAAGCAAGGAAGAATGAACTGGTGTGCCTCTGTGGTCCTTTCCAGTTCTAAATCTGTGAGCATATAAACCTTGCCTAGAAAGAAAAAGAAAGAATGAAAGAAACAAAGAAAGAAATGAAGGAAGGGTAAAAAAGAACAAAAGAAAGAATGAAAGAAACAAAGAAACAAAGAAAGAAATGAAGGAAGGGCAAAAAAGAAGAACAAAAGAAAGAATGAAAGAAAGAAAATAATAAAAGAAAAGAAAAAAATTTTGTCTCTTTGCTTTGTTGGCAATTAAAGTCATCAATTTGTTCCATTTGTTTATTCAAAGGCAATGGTTACATGTCCATACTTTCTATCTGTCTCCTCTGTCCTATTTCTCTAAGGGACAAATGCCTCAGAATTTAGAATCTCACACTTACAAACTGGAAGAGAGCTTTAAGGCCATGAAGTTCAGCTCCCTCATTTTATAGATCATGAAAGTGGAGTGAAGTTAGAGTACTTGGATGACCAGCATGGCACTTAGACTCCAAAGTCATCAGCTACTCTATATGTCAAATAAGGCTGGGTCTGGTGACCTCCACGGCCCCTTGCAGCTCCACAACTATGATCCCTTCACTTTACAGATAAAGAAACAGCAGTGGAGAAAGATCACATGATATATCCAAGGACTCACAGTTAGTAAGGGTCTGTGGCAGGATTTGAACTCAGCCTTCTAGATATCAAGCCCAGGACTCTCACCTCTTTTATTACCTTCTTTTTATTTTACAGATGAGGAAAATTGAGGCCCAGAGAGATGAGGTGACTTCCCTAGGATAAAAGGGAAGGTTAGGACTCAGTTAGTCTGAATTCAAAGCTAATTTTTGTCTATGATTCTCCATGGCCTTTCACATAATAAATACCTTTCTTCAATTTGTGATTACTATAAGAATCTGTGATTTGATCTGCCAGGGTTGATCCCTGCACCAACACAGGCTTTAGCTGCCATGATAATTTATTAACTGGTCTTCTACAGTGGCTGGGACAAAAATAGTCCTCACCCTACAGTCAAAAGTGTTGCTAAGCATCTAACGACTGAGCTGGCCTAGAGGTGCAAGAAAAGGAGTAAAAGCCATCCCATCAGTCCCCTTTCAGGCATGGCAACATTTGCCAGATCTCATGTGCCACAGCCAGAGGCTGAAAAAGTCAAGTTCCCAACCTCCTTCCCTTCCTTACCCCCAATCTCTATCTCTGAATGAAATGCTGGGGAAACCCAAGAAGAAGAAGAAAGGAGGAGGAGGGAAGAAAAAGGAAGGGAGGAGGAAGGAAAAGAGAGAAAGATAGATATGTTTATAGATGGATAGAGGTTAAGTGGCGTGTACACCTTCTTTCCAGCATTGGTGTGAGGATTACATGAGATAGCATATGTCTAAAGGCCTCTGCAAACCTTGAAGTACTATGGAAATGCTAATGACTATTATTACAGATGTTTGTTGATTGTTTTATTAGGGAGCGAAGGAATAAGTATTTATTAAGAGACTTGTATGTGCCAGGCATAGTGCTAAATGCTTTTACAAATATTATTTCATTTGATCCTCAGGACAACCCAAGGAGGTCGGTGCTATTTTTGCTTTCAGTTGAGGAAACCTAGACCTAGAGAGATTAAGAGGCTTGCCCAGGGTCACACAGCTAGTAATTGTCTGAGATATGCTTGAACTCAGGTCCTTCCCTATCTCCACTGGCCCACCCAGCTGCCTATCAGGCATCTGTATTGTTCCAGGCATTGTGTGTTAGCCACTGAAGATGATGGTAATAATATTAATAATAATGATGATGTTAATGATAATGATGATCGTGATGATTAGAAAAAGTAAAAATAATGGCTAATATATAGACAATGCCAACTATGTGCTGGGCACTATGTTAAATGCTTTTCAATTATTATTTCATTTGCACCTCACAACAAGCCTAAGACATAGATGCCGTCATTATCCCCATTTTAAAGATGAGGAAAATGAGGCACATATTATCTCATCTGACCTTCATAACAACCTTTCCAGGTAAATGCAATTATTATCTCCATTTTACTGATGAGGAAACTGAGGTAGACAGTGGTTAAGTGACTTGCCCAGGGTCACACAGCTAATAAATATCTGTGACTGGATTCAAACTCAGGTCTTTCTGACTCCAGGTTCTGCATTCTGTCCTTCTTGCCACCTCTCTTTAAAAATAAATAAATCATAAAAGCACTAGGAGGCATGGTTAGAGACAAAAGCAGATCTTCTCCTGTAATTTCCTCTATTTCCTGAATAGATGTGCACAGCAATGGCACCAGCCCAAGTCCTTGACTGGGAGAGGTGTGTGGGCCCAGTGACCTCAGTGATAATTGAGGTGATTGACCCCCGGGGCATTATTTGTCCTCTTTGAAAAGGAAGAGCAAGGAACAACAGTCCAGCCCTCTCTGTCTTCTTTCTCTGTTCGGCCCTGAGCTACCTATTCGTTCAAGCTCACCTCCTTCCCCTCCACTCCCCGCCCCTCCAAATCTCCACATTGCAGAGATGTCGCCATTTTTATACGAATTCCGTGGTTCGTGACCAAGCCCCTCATCTTCCAGGTACAAGCCTTACTCAAATTTAGTTTTCATTAATTGATTCACACAAGAAGTATTCTTACTTAACAAAGGTTAAGATCCTTTTAAGTGAGATAAGGGAATCACTGGAAATCATTGATATTTATATAAATAATAGTGACACAAGCTGTGAATACTTTGAATAAAGTACATGAAAATATAATTAACTTATCTTTGGAGATCACTGGTATTCTCTTTTAGTAAAAATGTGATGCCTTATGTCCAGCTAGACAGTGCTTGTGTCTGAAAGGAGCTGGGAAGATGCCTTGATGTTAAATCATGAGCCACCTGGGAAGCTATTGAAACAATGATCATGGACTTCATCAGTCCCACCTCCCCCTCAAGCCCCCAGTTCCCACTTTCTCAGAATACCTAGAGTATCAGTTAGCTCTCTTGACTCAAGCTCCTCGTACCTCATTATCTGAAACATTGGCTTAATATATAATTGTGACTCATTATATAAGGATGCATATGAATGACGCATATGGGGTCTGTTTCTCATATGAGCCAGCTTGCATGTTCTTTGGGACGTTTTGTGAGGTGGAAATGACCAGAAGTTTTCCTGATCCTCCTTTTTCAGGGTCTACCCCTCTTCCGATGTCTTTGCTTCTCAAGTGCCTGTAGCGAGGTTTGTGATTGATGCTGAATTTTTTATTTTGTTGTGTGTGCTGTTGTGATTCTTTATACCACCTTCACCCACTGGCTTATACTTTCAATGACTGATTAAAGGAATCTAGAATTTTGAATATGTTCTTGCAATTGTTACTATATTATCACAATTATCATCCTCGCTAGCATTGTTATCCTCATTATTTTTACTTATATGGAATACTGATCATCATCTTACCTGGCAATTTTCACAGCATTCTCCAAATGCACACTTAAAATTTGGCTTGATTTTACATGTTGTGGCATCACAGCAAATATTGGTACATTCCTACAAAAGAAAATCATTAAGAGAAAGCACTAAAAAGGCTGGGCTTTCTTTTAGCCCCTCAACACACTCTATTAACTCATTCATTCTCAGGTAGGCACAGAGATTGTTGAGACCAGGAACTATATATCTATTTTATTTATTTATATCTAATATATATATATATTCATGTTATATATTAATATAATTAATATAACAATCATATAATCAATATATTAATATAATTAAAATAATAATAAATGGATATATCATGTTTATGTATGTTTTATGTTTATTTATATGTATTTTATATCTATTTAATTTTATTGGTATCCCCCTCCTCTCCATCTCATCAATTATAGACTCTGGCATATAATAGGATAGGAGATGGACTTTTGATTCTATATGTACAGAGAACTCTCAGGAGAAACTCCCTCCACCAATGTGTGTTGGCACCTTCTCTGCAGCTAATAACCCTAGAGAGCTGCTTAGAGGTTAAGTGACTCACCCACAGTCACACAACCAGTATGCACCAGACTTGGTTAGACTTGAACCCAGGTTTTCCTGGCTTAGAAGCCATCTCTCTCCTCTATTCCATACCACCTCAATATATTTCTATTGATTTGAATTGAAAACAACTGAATTACCTAAACAGTCTGCTTCAATTACTTAGATATTTCTATTATTAGGACTTAAATTGTATTTATATAAACCCACCTCTCCCTAAAAAAATCATACTGGCTTTTTGACTTATTAGTTAAGGAGATATTTATTACCAATCACTTCTATCTATTACTAGTGAAATCAGGTCAATCATTTTCTGGGCCTCAATTTACTCAGCTGCAAAATGAAAAGGTGGGATTAAATGATTTCTAAGGTCCTTTCTACTTCTCTGTGTGTGTTCCTATCCAACCCTATTCAATTCCTTTCCACCAACATTTGTTAAGCATCTACAATATGTAATTTAAGTTCTCAAGATGTGCTAAGTGACAAGGATGTAAAGATACAAAAAAAAAAAACAGTCCCTACCCTCTGGTGGTTTACATTGTACCCCAGGAGGAGACATAACATTTACACAAATGAGTAAATATGGATTCATATAAAGTAATTTCAAGAGGGAGGGAGGATACTAATAACTGGAGAAATCAGGGAAGGTCTCTTAGAGGAAGAGGCACCTGAGTTGTGCTTTGCAGGAGCTGGGGATTCTACGAGGAGGGGAGGGCTCTCCAAATACGAGTAAGACCTTGTGCAAAGACACAAAGGCAGCAGATACAATGACTCCATGACCTCCTGGAGAACAAAGGTTATTATTTATATAGGTTTGCTAGGCACTTCACAAATATTAGCTCACTGGATCCTTTAAAACAGCCCTGGGAGGTAGGTGCTATTATGATCCTCATTTTGCAGTTGAGGAAACTGAGGCAGATAGTGGTTGATTTGCCCAGAGTCACACAGCTGGTTAAGTGTCCAAGACACAAACTCAGACTTCCTTATTCCAGGTCAACTGCTCTATCCATGTTACTACTGCTACCTACCAACAGCAGATAAGGGCTTTAGTCTAAGCAGCTCTAAATCCTGAGAAGTATCATTTCAACTACAGGACAAGAATATTTGAATAACATTAATTACCAATCTGACTGTCAAAAGTAGCCTTGCAGACAACTTACCTTTCTTCTCCATAATTAGTGCATTTTCATGGGAGAAAAAAAAGATAAGAAATATGTGATAGATATCCAATTGTTCTTTCTTTTATGGTGGCCTCCCCCCACCCTTTATATCTTCTTTGGAGAGGCTGTGAGATGAAACGGAGAGATAGCAGGCCATAGAGCCAGGAAGACCACTAGCTATGCGACTCTGTCCAAGTCAGTTACCCTCCCTCAGCCTCAATTTCTTCATCTATAAAATGGGGATGATAAAAGCACCTCGAACACAGACTTATTGTGGGGAATCAAAGAAGACAAGCAATGTAAAGCTGTTTGCAAATCTTTGATTGCTATATTAACAGCCACAATCAATTTGCAAACAGGTTAGTTTTTGAGATTCTTTGGGGTTATAAGCTGCAGAGAAGGAGCTGACCTACTTTGGTAGAAGGAGTTGACCTTGAAGTTCTCTACATGAAAGAAATCACATGTCCAATCTCTATCCCTGTCTCCATGCCTCCTTTATTTTGGTGAAGAAAAAGTCCCATCAACATGGGAAAGATTTGGTGATATGTTTGTGTTGGCAGGGGTGGAGGCAGGTAGGGAGGCAGTGTGCTGTGTGGCTGATAGAGTACTGACCATGGAACCATGGAAGGTTTGTGTTCAGATCATGCCTCTGAAACCAGCTGTGTGACTCTGGGCAAGTAATTTAACCATCCGGTGCCCCCACACAATTCCTTAAATGTCTTTCCTCCTAGATGATGTGAAGTTGCGGGTTGGAGAAGGGAGTTTAAACACTGAGAGTTCCAAGTACAAATAAAACCAAAAGTCCAGTCCATCTTCTATTATAACAATAATAGTTAACATTTGAATAAGGAATTAAGGCTTACAGTGTATTTTACATTTATTATACCATTGATCCCAACAACAACCTGGAAGGTAGGTGCTCTCATTTTCATCTCCATTTTTATAAATGGGGAAACAGAGGCTGTGAGAAATTAAGTGACTCACCCAAGGTTTCACAGCTAGTAAATGTTTGAGGTGGGGTTTAAAGTCAGGTCTTCCTGACCCCAAGTCCATAACTCTATCCACTGAAACACCAGACATCTGTTTTATGCTTTATTATCATATACTGTAGCTTATATGTCAGGGACAGTGATGAATGCTTGATGGGATGTAGATAGTACGGATTTAAACTTACTCTTCTCTCCTGAAATCTACATTACATCTCCAGTTGATAATGATGATATTCTAGTTAATAATGAAAATGAAGGTTAATATCGGTGCTGTTATGAGCCTCAAGAATTGGGTGTGGCCAAGGACTCTCTGAAGACACCTCTTGGGGGGACCTAAGGGCAGAGTGGATCTCTAAAAGGAAGAGAAGGGCTGCAAAATATTTTCCTTCAAAATTTTTATAAAGCAGAAGCCTCATAAGGACCATCCAAATAGGAAAACATCATAAGAGAATCATAACCAAACCCAGATAATGAGTCCAACATCATTTTTAGGTATCTTGTCATGGTATGAACAGAGAACACTCATAGCTAACAACAATATATAGCACTTTCAGATTTGCAAAGTATTTTAAAGATATTATCATAGCAGTAAGAAGTAGATCGTATTATTAACATCTTACATTAACATCTTCTATCTTCCATTAACATCTACTAACTTCCATCTCACAGATGAGGCCAAGAGAGGTTCAGAGACTTGCCCCAGAGTCACACAGCTAAGTAAATATCTGAGGCTGCATTTGAACTCAGGTCTTCCTGACTCCAGACCCCAGTGTTCTATTCACTGCACTACATAGCTGGTTCTAATCAGAAATGCTGTCTGGGTCATGAAATAAGAAGTAATTAGTACCTCTGGGGACCCACAATCACATTCTTCTCCTGATTCTACTAGCAGGTTCCCACAGATAGGGGTGGATATTATATCACTAGGTAAAGGGACATTCTTCAGGCAGCTCGGTGATGCCATTCTCAGGAATTTCTCTAAGCTGTTGCGACTACAGGAACTGAAGTCCTTGGGTATATAAAAGCTGTTGGGATAAGAAATAAGAGTAAGGATTTTATAGCCCATGGGTGTTCATCCAACCCTGTCATATTACAGATGAGGAAAGTGAGGCCCAGAGAGTTCAAGTGACTTGCCCAAAGTCACACAGCCCATAAAAATCTAACATAAGCTTGGAGGATGACAGCTTCAAAACTGAAAGGGGCATTAGAGGACATTGAGTCCAATCCTCCCTCCTTTTATAGGTTAGGAAACCAAGGTCCAAAGGAGGAAATGATTCCCCTGGATTAACACAGATAGTAAGCAACTGAGCTAGAATTAGAACTCAGTTGTTCCTTCTTCAAACTTCAGCTTTATTCAATATCTTCCACACAAAAAACCCCACAAAACACACAAAAAACCACATGAGAAACACCCTCCCCTTCCCTCCCCTCATTGTCACAGAGACCACTTGTGTACCACAGAATGCGGTTTGAGAATCAAAAACTCTGATCAGACTGTGAAAAATGGGAGTGGCCATTGGCATCTGCCATGCCCACTCCCTAATGAGCAAGAAATGTGAAGTGTTTGGTGGAATTTGGGCTACAAGGAGCCTCACCTGAGTGCCCGATCCATCACACATACTGAAGAAGGGCACTTGCACACATAGGTGTCATGGTACATTCCAAAATTATGGCCCATTTCATGGGCCATTGTTCCTGCAACCCTGAGGAGCTCGTAACTGTGGTCCTAGAGGAACAAATTTAACAAAAGAAATATCAGGACGATAGTTAACGCTCTGGTTTCCTTAACTGGACTATCTTAGCAACTAGGATTAAGAAACAAGTGACTGACTCTTAGGGCATCTCTGGAATCTTGATCAAGGCCCTCAGGGAACAACCTACAAACTCCCAGAGCAATAATGTACCCCTAGTGCTTAGCACAGCACCAACCCTGTGATAACCCCTTAATGACTTGCAAACCACAAAATGCTACAAAATGCTAGTTATTATTGTTGTATTATATTATGGATTCCTCACGATTTGACTCGTGAGTATTGCATTAGGAAGTAGTATGACAGTTCAAAGAGTTAGTGGAGTCAGAAGACCTGGGTTTTAATTGTACATCTGCCCATTACTACCTGTGTGAGACATGGTAACCTCTTCCATAAAATGAAGAAATTCGATAAATTGGTCTCTAAAATCACATGATGACCCTATGACCTTGTTGAAGCTAATTAAGGGCAGGGAACATGGTCCAATTGTTCCCTCTCTTATTCGTCCGGGCACCTAACATGAGCATTTTTTGGTTTTGTTTTGTTGTTGTTTTGGGGGGCAGAACGTGAGGCACACTTCAGAAGGCCAACTGCCTTCACCTATGTTTGACTAACTTGTGTTCCAACTGTAATGCTCTCATTCCTACCTCTAGCCAGAAGGGCCTTAACTAAGGCAGAGTGACAGGAGCTTTGGCTCCGGGATGCTGAGATTTAAAGAGTGCCACATTTTAGTTCCCATATTCTTTCAAATGCATAAAAGACAGACACTGTGTTGACTAACTCTGTCTCCCCTCCTCCTCAATGGAATTTGTTTTCATTCCTTTATTATTATTATCATTATCATTATTATTATTATTATTATTTTCACATACCGAATGATAAAGTTGAAATGAGGACACCATTTATAATCCTAGCCCTGGACATGTCTGCTGCTACTGCTCGGAATGGGCAAGATTATTAATTATGATAATCCATTTCTATCTCCCTGTGTCCCCAAATTGTTAGAGTATACTCTTCTCTATGTAATTTTCTTTTTTAAAAAAACACTTATTTTTAACATTTTTTAATGTTGAGTTCCCAATTTTCTTCCTCCTGCCTCTCCCTCACCCATTGTGAAGGCAAGAAATGCGATATCAACTCTATATTCTCGACATAACTTTCTTCACATTCCACTTTGACCACATAACAAATTAATCCCCCAGCTGACAGTCCCTGTAAAGGTCAAAGTTCACAAGCTTAGTTCTCAGACTCTGCATCCTCAGGTGACAGTGAAAAAAACAGATTCACTTGATTCCACCCCAGATGCCAGCTGTGTGGCCATGACCAGCCGCTTAACTTGTCTGTGTCTCAGTTTCCTCATCTGTAAAATGAGAGTGCCAAACTCAGTGGCATTGAAGAGCTCATGCAGTTCTAAATCAATGTTGCTATGATTCCTTAATGAACTAATGAATAAAAATAGCTTCTAAGTATATATGTATGTATGTATGTATGTATGTGTGTGTGTGTGTGTGTGTGTGTGTGTGTGTGTGTGTAACACTACTATATTCCAGGCACTATGATGAGTGCTTTTTACAAATGTTACCTCCCTTGACCCTCACAACAACCCTGTGAGTTAAATGTTATGACAATTATTCTCGTTTTCCAGATGAGGACACTGAGTCAAAAAGGGGCTAAGTCTGGCTTGCCCAGGGTCACACAGCTAGTAAGCCTCTGAAGCTGGATAATGAACTTATGTCTTCCTGACTCCAGGCCCAGTGGTCTGTCCCCTGTGCCTCCATTGTACAAAAAGTTATCTCCAGCTGTGCTATCCAGCTACCTCCTTTGTACTGATAGCTACTGCTACAAGAACAAGTGAGTCATTCCCTGTTCTCAAGGGGCTCACACTAGACTGAGAGGACAACATATAAAAGAAAGCTTAGCTTCAGGCTGGGTGGAAAAGCTAGGGGTTCAGCGCTGGTCAGATGGCAAGAGCCAGAGATGTAGATACATCCCACTGCAGGTATTATCTCTACTATGTAGATCACAGAGCAGTGTCAGGGGCCTGCAGGAGGTAGAGGCAGGGCACGCAGGAAGGCCTGGCACTCCTCCATTGCACTACAGTATGGTGCCCACTCCTTCCATAGTTTAGATGACAGTTTACTCTGCCCCTCTCTACCAAGGATTTCTCATATCCTGCAGATGGCATCTTTTTTGATACAGAGGAAAGAGCAGAGAAGGTCAGTTCAGAGGAGCTGACTTCTCCCAGCCCAACTCTTCAGCAAGTCACTTCAGCTCTCCATGTTTTTGATAATTTCTTTGCAACTAAGGAGGCGAGCTCCAAGCTCCCATCCAACTCAGAATCTGTGATCCTGCAGGGGGATTGTAATCTGTTATGGGGCTTAAATAAGTAGAACAAGGGCTGGAGTGGGAGGCAGGCTGGTTTGGGTTTTGTTTTTAATTATTTTATTTTCAATTCATGGAACAAAATAAGTGTTTTCACAACACAGCACAATAAAAGAGATGATTGCACATGAAACTGCAGATCTACCATGTACAACTTATTACTGCCTCCAAATATACAACTAAGTTATGTAAGTTTCTCTTTTCCCCCTTTTAAGTACCTCTTGTTACTCACTTTTGTCCAGGTGGAAAGGAGAGGCTTTGGCAGGAATGAATAAAAGGAGTGGATGGTTTTGGGGAAATGATTGGCCATTGGGAAAGGGGAGGAAAGTGACTATTAAGCTATCTGATAAGTAGACTTGTTACCAGAATTTGATTAATATGTTCCAGCATATTGGAGAATTTTGTATTTTGCTTGAAAATACTATAAATCACAAATGGAAGTAGCATATCAGATATTTTCAGATGCATGGGGTAACTCTCTCTCTCACTCTCTAGCTCTCTCTTTCTTTATTCCTCCTCTCTCCCTTCTCTCCCTGTCTCTGTTTCTTTCTGTCTCTCTCTCCCTCCCTTTTCCCTCTTCCTTTTCTCTCTCTCCCTCCTTTCTCTCTCTCTTCCAGCTCTGTCTCTTTCTCTCACTGTCTCTGTCTGTCTCCCCCTCCTCTCTTTCTCCTTCTCTCTCTCCCTTCTCCCTCTCTCTGTTTCTCTCTATCTCTTTCTCCCTCCATCCCTCCCTTTTCCCTCTCCCTTTTCTCTCCCTCCTTTCACTCTCTTTCTCCCCTCTTTCTGTCTTGTTCCCTCTTTCTCATCAGAGATGCTCAGAATTAGAATAATTTAATTAATTACAAATTGTCTATGACAGGTTTGTGCCTAAAACACATAGTAAGCTTTTCCTTCCACAGGCAATAAGGAAGTCATGGACAGAAAATTATGCAGGTCTATTCTTTACCAAGTCAAGTTGAGGTAGTAATGAGGTGTACAAGCTTGAGGTCAAGCATTAGATGAAAGGAAAGTCACGAGGGATAGCATGATCTAAGATTCTAAGATCATAAGTTTAAAGCTGGAAGAGAATGAAAAGGCCATCTATTCCAACTCTTTTATTTTACAGGCAGTGAAACTGAGTCTGAGAATATTTAAAAGAATTACTCAAGACCACACAAGAAGCAAGTTGGAGAACTAGGATTTGATCAGAGGCATTTGAACTCTAAATCTAGCACCCTTTCTATTATGTTTATTACATCACTCTTTCATGGGACCAGTAGGTAGTAAGATCATTTAGAAATATATGAAGAAATAATAAGATATGATGGATAAGGGGAAAAAAGGGAAGAGAAGATGGGCTAGGCTTGACTGGGATGGGACAGTAAGGGATGGGATCAGTTGAGCTAAGCCAGATAGGACAGGACAAGACAACTTTAGACAAGATACGAAAATACAAGATAGATTAAGATAGGGCAGGGCAGGGCAGGATAGGACAAGACTCCCAATAAGGAAAGCAAAAAAATAAAAAACAGGAAATGTGTTAACAACACAATTAAGGTACTTGTATTTTGGTTTATTTGGAATAGCTTTAGTCTGTATGTATTGGAAATACAAATATACACAACTTCATGATCTCTACATGAACTTTCTTGGTCTCAGGGAAGATGACATAATAAAAATGGCAGAAACCCCAGTTTATCTCCCAGCCTACCTGTACAATGCCAACGGAGTGATAAGGAGAGCACATTGTTGACATGAATGCCAAGCCCACGATGGGTCCAGTGAGGTCTATCCCCCTAAAATAAAGGGAATATTTTAGGTGGAAATGTCTTATGTTCAGTAAAAAGGTCATCACTAGCCTCATGAAACAATGAACCATCTGGAAGCAGACAGCAGAGAGAACAGCCAAGAGAAGTTTCCTTGTTGCTTCCTTCTAGGATTCCCTGTGGGGAAAGGTCATTTTCCTGGAAAATGCTCTCTGTTTTTATACCTCAGTGATCTCAATTTTATTTTTAACAACTCAGCTCATTTCAATTCAATGAAGCACAATACCTGACACATAGTAGGTGCTTAATAAATGTTTATTTACTGACTGCCTAGATCCTTCTTGTAGTGTTTTATATTCATTCTTACATAGAATCAAAGATTTAGAATTAGAAAGGACATCAGAAATCAAAACCTTTACTTTTGCAGGTAAGGCAACGGTGGCCCAGACAGACTAGGCAATTTGCCCAGAGTCACATAGGTATTAAGCACCCACCCACTCCACCACAAGGCAGCTAGATGGCTCAGAAGATAGAGCACTGGACCTGAAACCAAGAAGACCTGGATTTAAATCCAGTCTCACTTACTCTGAGCAAGTTGCTTGATGGCTATTTGACTTAGTTTCCTCATTAATAAGGAAAACAATAACACCTGCCTACAAGAGTTATTGTAAGGAGAAAATGAGATATTTGCAAAGTGCAAACCTCAAGGCCCTATAGTAATACTATCTACTATTATAGTATATACATATATATACATATATATGTATATATTGTATTATAGTATATAGTATATGTGTAGTATATAGTATATAGTATAATCTGAGGGCCATAACTATGTTTGTAAAAGGTGTACACAACAGAAATGGTCTAATTTTGATGGTAAAGTGATGGACTTGGGTTCAAATCATATTTCTCATATTAGTGAAGTGTCTGAGCTAAGGAAAGGTATTTAACCTTTCTGAGACTCCATTTCCTCATTTGTGAAGTAGAAATAATAATAATCACAACAATAATGCAACCTTTATTAAAGGATTATTTTGAGACATATATACATGCATAAAGTTTTGTAAACTTTAGTTATATGAAATTGTCAATGTGTATTATATAATTATTGTGAAGAGTGAAAACTGTTAAATTATCCAGATATTCCCAAAATATTCAGGTACCAAAGAACTAGTTGACTGAGACATTGTTGCTTCCCTTTCAAACTTAGCTGATGCAGATATTAAACGTGGTCTGTATCCATTTAAACACAACCTCCTTGGGCAATTTTTTCTCAAGCATCTTTTCTAGATGCCTTGGGCAGCCAGATTCATACATAGGATGATTGAAACTTACGTTATTAATTGGGCAACATCATGGCGCTTCATTTTGGGGAGAATACCCCCTCGCCAATTTGAGAAATTCTCCAAAGTCACATTTGCATCAGGGCTTATTTTTATCTTATTTCCATTTGTCCATATTTCCACTCCCACTAAGACCACTTGGATATTGAGCTTTTTATACAACTGTTAAAAGAAAACAAACTTTAGGATTAAGCAATTTCAACTTTCAAATAACAGAGTAGCTATTCAGATTTGCAAGATTAGGTAGAAGCTATTATGAGATAGTGTATCTTTCCTTTAGTCCTTGTGAGATAGACAATCTGGTCAATTATTTTGCAGACAGGACATCTAAGAAATGGTGAAGTAGCAATGTAGGGCAATGATCTTCCAACTCTCTGATCTTCTGACCACTTTGTTGGGGCAGAAAGAAAAGACCTCAAGGAAAGCTCCCAGAATTCCAGGAAGAATTTGCATATTGAATCCGTGGAAAGATTTGAGCAAAGGTCACAAAGAATGGGCAGGCATGGTTAGTTAATGGTTGGCACCTCTAGAGAGAATGCCCATAATGAGGAGAAAAACAGAAAGAAGTGGAAGGAAGGAAGGAGGAGGAGGAGGAAGATCAAATGGAAGAGAGATTTGGAGTTTATTGGTGGGTCATGTCATATCTGTTTATCACATTTTAATCTGAACAAGTCACTTAACCTTTCTGATCCTCTGTTTCTTCATTTGTTAAATCAGGTTATGAGACTAGTTGTCCTCTGACATCTCTTCCAACTCTAAGTCTCTGACTCTCTGAATCACTGTATCTAAATCTCCTAGTTGAGTTAGTGTGTGAAGTCCAGGCATTCTACTTCAATAAACACCAGTCATGAGGCTGGATGACCATTTGCTGAGGATGCTTAGCTTGTGAGTGGGAGGACGTTCTTACTTCAGACATAAATGTTGAAGATGCTTCCCACCCTTAGAGTTTCTTCTGGGCATACTGATGGAAGAATCCTATAGCAACATTGAAGTCTTAGCAACAGCTTATGTGTGGGACAGGCAGGACCCTAAATCAGTAATGACTTTTGTGGGTCTACACCTCAGATATGTGCTGATGTCAGGTTCTTTTCCAAGAACAACTCTTTTTTTCCAGAAGGATCAAGCAAATGAGGGCTGTTTAATGATATTTACACTTAATATAATAAATACAAGCTAAAAAGCAAAGCTTTTAATTATGTTTTCACCACTCATGAATTTCTGTTCCTATATCTGCAAGATGATAAATTCACAAGAAAGGGAATAAGAGAGGGGGGGAGACAGAATGTAGGGCAGATTAGGGGAAGGGATATTCAGAATGCACGCTGACTTGGGGTTGGGGGAGGGACAAGATGGGGAGAAAATTTGTAACTCAAAATCTTGTGGAAGTGAATGTTGAAAACTAAAAATAAATAAATTAATGAATCTTTTAAAAATAAAAAAGATAATAAATTCACACGCAAATTTCCAGTCTCATACCAGGACTGACATAGACCTAACTGGTGGAGAAATAGAATTTAATTTTCAAAGGATCTTCAGAGTTTATTAAGTCTAACCCTCCCATTTTGCAGAATGAGGAAACCAAGGCTCTAAAAAGGAATAGAGAGTGCTGGTCAGATCCTAGGATGTGGGTCATGGACCTAGAGTTAACAGAGACTTCAGACGTCATCTAGTCCAACCATCTTATCTGAGGAAATTAAAGCTTAAAAAGCTTAAGTAATTTGTGCTGGACTATGCTGGTAATGAGAATCTAAGGCAGATTTTGAACCCAAGTCATGGTATTTTAGAGTTACAGCTGAGATGGATGTTAAAGAATATTCAGTCCCTAATTTACAGAGGAGGAAACAGCTCTATGGAAATTATGTGACTTGCCCAGGGTCACACAGGTATCAGAGGCAGGATTTGGACCCAACTCATCTGTATCCTGAGCCAGTGTTCTTTCTATTGTATTTCTTTGACTCTCAATTCAGTGCAATACCGCAATGTTTACTTCAGACTTGGGATCAGAGATTCAGAACTTTAAAAAATCACACTCTGCCTTCCTCCTTCAGAAGGAGAAACTGAGGCCTGGGGAAGTAGTGACTTGCTTGAAATAGAAAAGGCCAAGTTTGAATTCAAACTCAGATGTTTGACTTCAAATTACAGTTTTCTCATTCTTGTGATACTCTGCCTTGGACACTTAAGTACTCAGTACTTGGTGATATTGCAATAGAAGATTCTTAAGGTAATCCAATAGAAGAGTCAGGTTTAAGAACAGATTACAAATGGCTTGGGACTTTTTTTTGGGGGGGGCGGTATCTTGCTGATTGCACTTTGAAAAAGATAGTACTGAATTTGTAGGCTCCATTAATTCCTAAGTCACAGTGACATTAACTGGAAGTGTCCCCCAAAGGCAATACATGCGAGGCATACTAGACATTAATTCTCTATCAGTGTTCATATGGTGGTGAACATATTCATTCTGCTTTCCGTGGCTGAACAGTGTCACAGATTTTAGAAATACTGGGTACTCCTAGCCTTTTTGAGAAGTCTCAGAAAATGCCCTGACAAACTGCTTTCATTTTGACTTAATAACACAAATCATACCATGTTGACGAAGTTGACCATATCAAAAACCCTCTGTCTTATTTCCTCTGGATTTTGGTTGTACTTTTGAAACTGAAAAAAAAATAAACAAGTGTATCAATCTCAACAGAAACAAAATGATGACATTATGGGGGAAAGGGGATTCCTCTAGTTCAAACAGAATTCAACTGAACTATATGGAAGTAAAGAAGAAAACTATATTGAGACTGGAGAAGATTGGTGACTTCAGTTTTTTTCTGACATCATATCCTTATTATTGTTATAGATATGATTTCAACATTTAGGCAATTCCCAATGTGGAAACTCTATCATCACAGATAAGAACTCTCTTTCATTTTATAGTTTTAGAAAGTTTTCTTGGGCCCTCGAAGTTTTGGTGATTTCTGCAGGATACGTAGCCAATCTATGTCAAAGCAAGGTCTTGAACACAGGTTATCCTCACTCCCAAGACAGTTCTCTATCAATGGCACAAAAACTGTCAGCAAACATTTAATAATCAACTACTATGTGTCAGACATAGTGCTAAGCAATGGAAATACAAAGAAAGGTAAAAGACAGTCTGTGCCCTCCAGGAGCTCACAGTCTAACGAGGGAGACAACATGAAAAACTATGTATAAACAAGATATATAAATAGTAAATAATCAACAGAGGGAAAACACTAGAATTAAAGAAGATTTGTAAAGGCTAGCTGTAGAGGGTGAGATTTTAGTTGGGACTTGAAGAAAGGCAGGAGGCAGAGATAAAGAGAGAAAGCTCTATGCATAAGAGAGAATCAACAAAAATGTTCTGAATCTGGAGATGGAGCATCTGGTTAGAAAGCCAGTGTCACTGAATTTCAGAGTACATGGATGGGGGAGGTGGTGTGGGAAGGGAAGGTGTAAGAAGTCTCTCCATTTCATTGCTTACTTTATGTTCAGAAATTAATACAGTATAAAACTCGGTGGTCAAGACCTGTGCTCTCCCTCTTCTCTGCTATCCTTTGGGCTATCCCCTATGCTTGAAAGGTACTCCCTTCTCATCTGTGAATGTTAACAACTTTTTTTTCCTTCAAACTTCCTTACACCAGAATGCTTCTTCCTCTGAGATGTCTTCTATGATTTTTCTTCTTCCTCAAATTTTCCTAAAGCATTTTATCTTAATCTTTTCTTTGGGCTCATCACACAACACTTTGTACTAAATATATTTCTATCTATCTATCTATCTATCTATCTATCTATCTATCTATCTATCT